TTCTTCTGCTAATATAGATTTGAGTAAGGAAATTATGGAGAATCGAGGATATTACCCTGAATGTAGAATGAGATGGACACAAAAAAGTTTAAAACTTAATCTACCAATATAAAGGGAATAAACAACAATGAAAAAACATGGAGAAAATATATGTGTACCAAAAACGTGATGCAGAAGATCGAGATGATGGATGAAGCTTCGTTCGAGTTTCATTTGAAAAAGAGAAGATGTATTTGATTTGCTTTACATTCATTCAAGACAATAGTGGAAGATGAAGTTTTAAGGAAGATGAAACTTTTAGGGCAATAGAGTTCATGAATAAAATGTTAGCGCAAAAGTAAGTGAAAGGGAAATAGTGGAAAATGTTTGTGAAAATAGATGAAACAAAGTTTTTCTATCTATTGGGAGCCCTAACTGAGTGTGTAACTTGTATTTTTTAATTTAAAATAAAAATATTTGAAATAATTTTTTCTATTGGTTAGGAGTCTCAATCGATGGGATATGTGGTTTAATTTTTAATTAAAAAGTAAAAAAATTTAATGGTGCCAATTGAAATTGTCTTTTATTTAAATAAAACTAGAAACTACACTTGTTGAGATTCAAAGTATGTTCTTGAGGGACTTTTCTCTTCGGTTGCTAACCCAACCAAGAAAATATATGGTTTAATTTTAATTAAAAAATAAAGAAAGAAAGACGCCAATTTTTTTATAACTAAATTTTTTTTAAAGAAAAATAAATTCAATAAAATAAGCAGTCAATGCAAAAGAGGGGAAACTATACCAAGACCCTCTTAGTGATTAACAAAATGATAGCTAGGAAGTCCCAATTTGTTATGAACAACTAAAAGAATAAGAGCTCTTGGGGGATTATCTGAAGACAAAGGCAAAGAAGAACTAATAGCCAAATAAGCTAACAAATATGCACATTGGTTCCCTTCTATGTAAGCATGGAAGACATGAAATCTTAATTGCCTAATTTTGACTAAACAGTTAAGCCACAAAGTCCTAATATTCCAAGGAACTATCTTAGGATCCTGAGCAGTCAACAAAATAAAAGAAGAATCAGTTTCGAGCCAAACTCTATTTCGGCCGAAACAAGTAGAAAAATCTATGGCTTTAATGACCCCAAAAAGCTCAGCGTGAATAGAGGAAGAGCAATCAAGCTTTTCCGTAAAACCAAAAACAAAGTCACCTTAAAAAGTGCACTTGTTGGGATTCGTAACGTGTTTTTGTGGAAAAAAAATTCATCAGTTGCCAGCCAAACCAAGGGAGTAAATTATTTTATTTTTAATTAAAAAAGAAAAACCCCAATTAAAATAAAAATAAAAATTATAATTGTTGGGATTCAAAGTGTATCCTTGATGAACTTTTATCATTGATTGTCAATGCAATAGAGAGAATAAATTGTTGATAAGTGTGAATTGTAGCTATTCTTGTATATAAGTTTTGTTGCACTTATCGATACTTTTTTTAATAAGCTCGATAATTTTTATGAATATTCGTTGAATAAACCCCATTTAGTTTGTAAATACATTTAGTTTGTGTATATTTGTGTTTTTATGTACATAGTGTAATATTTGATGTTTTCCATTCATTTTGTAGGTATTTGAGCATGGTTGGAACATTGAGTAATAAAAGCTCCAAGATTCAATTTTGGAACAATAAAAGGAAGAAGAAAAAGAAGGAAAGCCAAGGAAAAGAAGCAATTTGTTTTAGCAGTAGTGACGGGCGGAGCTGACGCAATGAAAGGGCGATGTGAGCGCCAGGCGGTGCAAGGGCGACACAAGGGCGGGGAGATTTGAGAAAATCGTGTTGCTACTGACTTGGTGTTGCGCCTTCAGTGCTAGACAATACTTTAGGCAGTTCTCGGGAAGTGAGTTTGAGCGTCGGGCGACGCTAGATATTTTTGGCCAGTTTGCTTGCATGGTGCAGGCTGAATGGATGAATAAAGGACAACATCAGGCGGTGCTTTCCAATGTCAGGCAGTGCGTGTCTGGGACAAATTTTTTTTTATATATTTTTAATTCATTTAATTTGTCAGGGTTATGGTTTTTGGGGTGGTTTTTGCTCTCCCAACTCCATCAACCTCATTTTTCATTAGGATTAGCTTAGAAAACAACTACGAAGCTTGCACACAGATGATCCAGGATCGGTTTCTCATTAATCGATGCTGAAAAACTGAGAGATTTGTGGTTCATTTCTCTTCTTCCTTGTGTATTCTTCATTTTTTGAGTTTGTATATGTATTTACTTTGAACTCATGTATAATTATCGCACATGGCGTTATATAAAACTTGCTTTACAAATCTTTGTTGACTATTATCCTTGATTTTTGCTCTGTGCTTGGGGTCTGGGTTGATATAAACATATATTACTCGAATTATTATCTAGGATGATTATCTAATAATGTCTAGATTTTAGAAATAGATTTCTAGTTATTATTCACTTGGGTATCTATGCTTAATGCCTCCGTGTTGTTTGTGTCGTGCTGAGAGATCGTCGACGCGAGCAACACGGTTATCTTATGTGTTGTTGAGGTTGGTTGAGAGATCGCCTCTGAGATGATACAGTGGGTATTTCAATTTGGGTTAGACATAATCTAGATTGTGAGTGATACATGATGACATTGATGAGTTTTATAGGTTGCGTATAATTGTTCGATAGGTTTAAGTTTGTGAGAAGGGGATTATATGCATTCCTGATAAGTTTCTTCTTTATGAAGAATTAATTCTTTTTCTGTTAATAACTTTTAATTCCCTCATTTACTTCAAACACAATTCAACTCAAACTCATTAATGCGAGAAATTATCGAACGATAATTCAGTAACACTAATTCCTGTGAAGATAAATTTCCTGAAAGAATATTTCCAAAAAATTTTATTTGCTGCTTAACCGCAACAATAATAGTTTGATTTTTAATTAAAAAAGGTGTCAATTTAAATAGAATGCACCTTGGCCCTATTAGTGCGCGAGGTATTTGTGGTGAGAAGAGAATGAAAGAAAGAGAAAGAAAAGTATTGAATATATTTAAAACTCACTTACATGATTTATATATATATATATATATATATATATATATATATATATATATATATATATATATATATATATATATATATATATATATATATATATATATATATAATGTTACTTGTACTCTAAGTAATTAACATAAGAAATCTAACTTGCTTAGTAAGTAGCTAAGTAACTAACTAACATGTACTCTATCACAACATACCCTCTTATAATTCAATTTGTCAAACACAAACTAATCATAACCGATCTGAACTATTCCTAATTTTACTCAACGTTAGGAATTTGTCGATCTTCAATCCTTTGATAAAAATATCGGTCAACTGTGCTTCATTTGAGCAATACCTCACTTCAAGTGGACATTGGTTTACCTTCTCCCTTATGAAATGAATCCTAGCCTCAATGTGCTTATTCCATCCATGTAGAACTAGATTCTTTGCAAGATTAATGGTTGTCTTGTTGTGAATCAACAACACTAGATGTTTCTTCACTTAGACCTTCATTTCTTCCATCACATATCTGATTCATATTATTGGATAAGCAACATAGAATCATGTTATATATTCAGCCTCACACGATTATAATTCTACCACGAGTTGCTTTCTCCAGCACCATGAGATTGGGGTACCAAATACTTAAAAGAAATAATCAGTTGTGCTTATTCAATCTTCCTTATTTCCATACAAATCAACATGTGGATAGCAAGTAATCACAATTTCTTTGCTTTTATAATCTCGTGGTAACAGAATTCCACAATTTGTTGATCCTTTTAGGTATCTCGAGATTTTTCTTGCAGCCTTCATGTGTGACATATTTGGTTCATCCATCTATCTGGTTACTAATCCAAATAAGAAACCTATATCAGGTTTGCTATTTCACACATACCTCATAGATAATATAATTTGTTTAAACAAAGTGGCATTGACCTTGTCCTTCTTTCCATGCTTCTTTAGTTTCAGATTTGGTTCGACAGGTGAGGATGCAGGATTCAAATCATCCATTATGAATCTCTAGAGTATTTGTTTGACATACTTCCTTTGATGCAACATCATACCTTTCTTGTTAATTTGAAATTCCATGCCTGAGAAATACGAAAGTTTCCCAAATCCGATATTATAAAATCCCTCTTCATCTAAGTTATTTTCTTGTAATTCATATTGTAATATTTTGTAACAACTTTTGAAATATTGTGAATTAGTTGCTCTTTCCTTTAAACGTAGATCGATTGAATCGAACTAAATAAACAATTTTTGTGTGTTCTCACTTATTATTATTGTTGTTGCTTGAAGTAATTTGTAGCATATTTGACTTGACTTTTGGAAGAAGCAAAAACAATTCTAGATGTGTAGAATTGATTCTGAAGTGATTTTGAGGTGTTTAGTTCTTCTAAAGTAGAATTGATTCTACCTCAAGAATTGATTCTACTATAAACTAGAATTTATAGCTTTTGAGTTTAAACATGATTTTTATATTGAAATTTGTTGTTCAACTTACTTTTACATAAATGTATTCAAACATAAATCAATTCTGCTAAACTCAAATCCGTTAAAATCAATTTTACAAAACTCAATTATATCAAAATCAATTATGCCTATCGTCAATCCAAACACACATTTGAATGGTTGTACTTACTCTTTGTACCACATATTAAAAATTTTGTATGTTCAAAATTATTTTATATTTATTTTCACAACAAGTATGGTCAACTATAGTGCAAATGAGTTAAGTTTACAAGTATCATAAATTTTAAGAGAGACATCGATTTTTTTTCTTGCGACGACGATTTTAAGTTGTGTAGAAGAAAAAAATGCACACAATAAAATCAAGAACATCATGATTCAAAATTACAACAAAATTATTAAAGTAGAGACTTTTACATATTCTCATAAAAAACTTATGCTTTGAATACAACACAATTATTTTTTAGCAACATAAGCACAAATTGTAAACACACTAGTACTATTACAAATCACATGCTAGATGAACCTTGTGATTTCATCTTAGGAACCCAAATATAATTATCAGCTGGAAAAAAGTGACACACAGAAGAACTTCCTGGTGTAACACCAAGAACTTGAAATGAAACATGACTAGGTGCCCATTGTGATGTATCCATGTGACAAACAACCATAGCTTCAACTTTATCTCTATTCTCACCCTCCAATAATACTTTATACACCCTATTCTCGCTTTCTTGACTATGACAATAAAAAACAGCAAAAGGATATGGCACAGTGTGACAAGCCACCATTTTTGGAGCTATGATTTCCATCAAAATTTCTACTATAGTGTAATTTTGAAAAGTAACACTTGATTTTGTTTTATGCAAAGTTGCATAAACTTGGATTTCAGAATTTGAACCAAGAGTCTTTTGTGTGAATTCAAGCATAGATTGTAATGAAGTAGCACAAAATTTTACTTCTCCTTTGATGTGTTTGCTTTCACATTCTTGTAAGGTGTTTTCCATAGCCATGGCTTGTGGAGTGTTTGGAGAAAAAGAGAAGAATTTGAGAAGATATGAGAGTTGGTTTGAAGAGAAAGGAAGTGACTCAGCTTCTTCTTTTGGCCATAACTTCGGAGAAGTTGAAGGGTCTCTCTTAGGAAAATAAATTTGCATTATTTTTCCAACTTTCAAATCTTTCAAAGTGAAAAACACCATCACTGAAGGATCAATATTATGAGTCATATGATTATGTTGATGATGATGGTTGTGCTGAATTTCCAATGATTTGGTTTTTGTTTCAACCAATTCCCTTGCTTGGTTTCCATGACAACACTGCAAAAATTCAGTAATATTTGGAAATTAAAGAAAAATAAACGAGAAAGAGTTTCAAGAAAAATAAAGAAAGAAACATACCAATAGGATTACGAGGAGATGAAAAAGGATGATCCAAGATACAAAATTTATTGCCATATTTCTACAATTTCAACGCTGAATTCTTCACACTTATCACTAGAGTCAAGTGGTTTTTATTAAATAATTCTGATATTTAACTTTATCTACTAACATAAAGTTTTTTCACGTTTTGAATACATTGGTTCGATTTGGTCTATTGCAACACTCTTATATTAAATTATTCTATGATCATATATCATATAATAATCATTTAAAAAAAAACTTAAATAGTCTTTTAATTTCGATAAATTAGTATATTTTTATTCTCGATTCTCTATTTTTTTTGTATAAAATCATTAAATATTAGATTTTATTTGATTTTAGTTCTTAAAACTAAAATCTGTAAAAAAAATTAAAAAAAAAAATTCAAATAAAAGATTTTAGCATTAGGGATTAATATCAAATGAAATCTAACATTTAAAGATTTTATTAAAAAAAAAAAATACAAGACGAAAATAAAAAATACACCAACTTATATAAATCGAAAAACTATTTAAACTTTAAAAAAAACATTAATATTTATTTTCTCAATTTTATTTTTAAGTGTCATATTTTGGAGACATGATTGTCTCCCGTTGAATTTTCACATGAGGAAGTCCAATAAAAATCCTAACCATCCAATCATTTTTTAAGTTGAATTAATTGCATGTATTTGGAAAAATAAATGGTTGGGATTTTACTTAGGCTATATTTACAAGTTTGGAGGGGAGGGAAAGAAAATGCATTCGAAAATAGAATTTTAAAAAATATAGGAAAATATTTAGCATTTTTTGAAAGAATGATTTTATATAAAATTATAAAATAATATTTATTATTATTGTATTTTTAATTTTCAGAATACTATGACAACATAAAAGATATTTAGAAAATTTATGTAAGTCCTCCAAAAACCCCCTTCAATATAAATTTTTAATTTCTCAAACATTTTTTAAAAGAATGATTTTATATAAAACCATAAAATAATATTTATTATTATTATTGTATTTTTAATTTTCAGAATACTATAACAACATAAAAGATATTACAAAATTTATGTAAGTCCTCCAAAACCCTTTTCAATATAAATTTTTAGTGCTTTTGTGTTATGAAGAAACACAAACACTCTAAAATCCTCCCAATCAAAATTCTATTCTTTTCACCTAATCCTTACTATTTTCCAAAGCCCCCCCCATTTCCCATAAAATAATATTTATTATTATTATTATTGTATTTTTAATTTTCAGAATACTATAACAATATAAAAGATATTACAAAATTTATGTAAGTCCTCCAAAACCCCTTTCAATATAAATTTTTAGTGCTTTTGTGTTATGAAGAAACATAAACACTCTAAAATCCTCCCAACCAAAATTCTATTCTTTTCACTTAATCCTTACTATTTCCCACGCATTCACACATTCGGTACATTGTAGACCGGTCGATCAAAATCAAATGTTTCATATTTAAATTTAAAATTAAATAAATAAATAAAATATGTTGTTATAAATCCTCCAATGATAATTCAAACGGTCAATGATATTATGAATGTGTGAATGCGCCAAAGCTTGACTGTAGTGAATTCAATTTGTTGACAAGAAGTGATTACTATCTTTCCTTGATGAGACATGTTCAAATCCAATACCTTCCAATAAATATTGATGTTATTGCAAATGCTTAAGAATCAATTCCATAAGTTGTAAGCAAAGTGGCATTCAGAAATCATGTGCGAGTAGTAAAGTCAGCACCCTTATGGTAAAGAGTACACATAGAAGGGCTAACAAAATCTCTCTTAGCAAGGTAATAATCAGCGGACAGTCTATTGTGTGCTTACCTCCACAAAAACAATTATTTTAAGGGATGAATGCTAGGGCTCCAAGGAAATTTGTTCTACAAGGCAGAGAGCATATGTTTAGCAATAAAGTTAAAAGAATGCTTTAAGCTGAGATTTCCCCTGTTAGTTCCTACCAACATCCGTTTTTCATCATAATCTTCCAGTGGAGTATGGTAGGTGGTGATAGTGTTGGAGCACAAGGTTGAAGATGAAGATGAATATGGAAGAAGAGAGAGAGAGAGAGAGAGAGAGAGAGAGAGAGAGAGAGAGAGAGAGAGAGAGAGAGAGAGAGAGAGAGAGAGAGAGAGAGAGAGAGAGAGAGAGAGAGAGAGAGAGAGAAAACAACAATTACAACAAACTTGATGAGAAAGAAACTCTATTATAAAAATCTCTCTATAAAAACAGTTACACCAAGGTGTTTAAATACACCAATGAAATATGCCACGTAGGCAAAGCTAAAGAAGTTAAAACAAAGAGAAACTACCATGTAGGCATAATAAACTTTTACTAAAACTCAGAAGCTAAGCTATGTTGAACTTCTGAACAATAACTTATCAGCTACGTTGAGCCTATAGCTTCTGATCAACGGCTTCTTAACAATGAATGTTTTCGATCTACGTTGAACCATCCCTTAATTTAGTTAACCAAAATTTACAACACCAATTCTATTCCTCAAATGGACAAAATGTTCAGTCTTGACAGCTTTAATCAGAACATCTGCAAGTTACTCCTAAGTGCTACAGTGTGCAACTTCTAGCACTTCATTATGAACTTGATTCCTCAAAAATAGAACTTTGTGTCAATGTTCTTACTTCTCCCATGCAGCACTGAATTCTTGGCAAGACTTATGATGAATTTTTTATCTATCACCAGCTTCACATGCTTATTCACCTTGATCTTTATATCCTGCAACAAATTCATCAACCAAACATTTTTGACAATTCAGATAAGTAGGGTCTATCAGAAGATCATGGTTTCATTTCAAAGACATCTTGAACATTATTTTATCCATGTACCAAGTCGTCATTGTGCACCTAATTCAAGTGGATTAAGATTTTGCATCTTGTGTGTGTATGTTTGTTGATGTTCATCAATGAAAAAATGATTAGAGGATGCCTTTATATGCTTCGAGTTTTATTTTCATCCAAAGGGCTTTTTCTAGCTTCTTATTTTACAAGACTTATCTTCCTCAAGGGAACTTCTCAAGAACATTAGCTTTGTGTGAGGTCATGGGGTTTTCAGTTAAGATTTTTTGATGGATTGAATTGCTAAACCAGAGACCACGACACAATATATGAATTTATGGGATTATTCTTGGTCAAGAAAATTTGTGTTCTCATCATTGTTATTTATTGTTTGCAATTTGAAAAAGGTTTGGAAATTTAAAAAAGAAGTAAAGTGCACGGTGCATGTCTTAAGACAAAAGATGGCATGAAAGGTGAAGTTGTGGATTTTTCACTTTTGTTCAAGGTGTGTGTATACAAGTTACTTGTGAGGATTAAAGGATTCATTCAAGTGGTATGATGTATTCAAGTGAATTGAAATAGCTTAAGCTTGCAAATTTGAAAATTATGGAAGCAAGATACAAAAGTATATCAAAAAAAATATCACATTGCTTCTAAATAAATTTCATCAAAATGTTATGCATCACCAAGACTTTTTCATGGCATTAAGCTAATCAAATAGCATAGGGAATTGAACATGGAACCGTGAAAAGGAAAAATCAGAAGAGAACAGTACAATTCATCGAAACTTGCAGATAAAGCCTCATAATCTGAACCAATCTCAGCCTTCCATTTATTCAACAATATTTCATCTCCTAACTATTGCATTATATCCTTTCTCTGTCCTTTATTATTTATTTTTATTCATTTTTTTCAATAACTGAAACAATAATAATTGTTCAAAATTCTGAATGAAAAATGGATATGTATGGTGATGCTGGTGGATTGGACCGAGATGCTCTTCTTGGCCCATAGATAATTCATTTTTGGAACACCTTTTGCTTGCAACACAAAAATAGCATGGTGGACTCATTCAGACTGGACTTTGTGCCATTTTGCTGGATCAAACTCTCATATATTCAATGCACTTCCTGCTTTTGAGCTTTGGTTTACATTATTTTTTAACTTGTTTTTTCCAATTCGCTTTTCATTAATTCTTGACGAATAAGATAGCGATAAAAATGATATAAAATATGTAGAATATTTTTGAATTCTTTAGGATTTCTCTTTAGATTTTTTATTTAGAGTTTTCTAATTATTCTTTTCATGTTAATAATGTTTTTTTTGTCACTTATGTCATGATTTTGTGAATAATTGTTGACGCAACTTTGATGCGTTTGAGTATTTAGGGATCGTTGGTGAAGCTTCCACAAGGATTCGTGAGTTTTTGAGTACCAGTCTTTGAGGCTAGTTAAGAGCGTAGTATTCACCGAGGAAGTTTAAGGAGGATTTTGGTAGAGTTTTTCCATCACTTGCGTGACTTTGAAAAGACGACGAACCTTCTCCGATTGGTATCACTTGAGATCTCTTTACTATCTCATTGTTGCATCATTTTTAACTAATCTTGCCATGAGAAGTAGGATAGAGATGCATGACTGAAGACCTACCCCTGTAGGCATTGCGAAACCATGTTTGTGGCATAGTGTAGTTGTTTAAAGCCCTATCTCGAAGTAGACAATTTCTGTTTGATTTAAAGCTCTACCTCGAAGTAGGAAATTTATGATTGTTTAAAGACCTACTCCGAAGTAGGCAATTTCTGATTGTTTAAAGACCTACCTCGAAGTAGACAATTTCTGTTTAAAGACCTACATCAAAGTAGGAAATTTCTGATTGTTTAAAAATCTACCTCGAAGTAGACAATTTCAGATTGTTTAAAGACCTACCTTGAAGTAGGAAATTTCTTATTGTTTAAAGACCTACCTCGAAGTAGGCCATTTCTGATTGTTTAAAAGAACTACCTCGAAGTAGGTAGTTTCTGATTACTGGAAGACCTACTTTAAAGTAGGCAATGATTTTCTGTGTGTACTCTTGTGCAATTGTTGTCTTGATGCTTTGTTAAGTGTGTGAGAATTACTTGTGATTGTTACCATTGTTGTGACATTGTTACATGGCTTGCCTTGTGATGCCATGCCTTATTGTTCATACACTTGTATTCATTTCACTACACATCTTTGCTTGATGCTTATGTGATTTGATGCTTATAC